TTTAAGGTTGCTTTGTTCCAGAGATCTTGTTTTTATTTCCTCCCGTATTCTTCTGTATGTATTGTAGCTTACGATGTCCCAACCATGGGTCTCGGCTCTCTGTTGTAGCAGTTGGAACTGGTTTGTGAGGGCTATGAATTCTGGAGTCTGTTGTGCGTGTGGGAGAGTTCTGTTGCGTTTGAGAGGCGTGGCCTCCTGGTAGGCTGTTCCTATGGCTTCACTCCATGTGTTGATTTCTTCGTCTATTTTGTTCACCGGCTGATTGTCTATGGTCTGCAGGACTGTCATGTCCTTGGCCTCAAGTTCGGCTGTAGCTTTTTCGTTGAATAGTTCCCAGTCGGTCTGCTTGGCGATCCTCCGTCATGGAGCTGGTATTGGTGTTGCTGAGATGGTCATGATTATGGTTAGGTGGTCGATGGAGGTTACAGGGCCTTGTTCAAAGAGATAGTTGTGGAAGCATCTGCCGTTTGTTATTGCTATATCTGGAGTAGTGGCTGAGTTCCTACTGTAGAACGTGGGGAAGTCTGGGCCTATTAGTTGGGCTTTTTTGTCTGTTATGCAGCCAGCGAGGCCTCTTCCAACATTGTTAGTTGTCCTCTTACCATCTAGTAGAGGATGTCTGGCGTTCATGTCTCCAATGATGTAGGTTGGGTGGTGGTATGATAGGAGTCTGTGGAAGTCCCCGTAAGGCAGGTAGTCCCTGCGTGGTGGGAGGTAGGTTGTGGCTATTATGATTGGTCCTGTGGTCAAGTTGATTTGAACAGCGAGAGTTTCAGAGGTGAAGTCGTCTATGATTCTGTGGTGGACATCTCTTTTTATGGCGATGGCCACCCCGTCATTTGGCTCCACTGAAAGATTGGTTTTATGGATCCTGTAACCAAATATTTTTAGTTCCTCAGCCGCCTTTTGGCTGTGTGAGTTTATGAGTATAATATCTGCGTCAGCTTGGTTGTATCGGCTGGACAAACTGAATTTATTAGTTCGCCAGTGGAGGACGTTATTGTGCATTATTTTCACTGCCTTACGTAGCGACTCCATTGTATTTTGTTTTTGGTTTTGGGGGGGATCCCTCGGATTCGTGGTTTATTCACTGTGCGTCCATTCCTCATTTTTTTTATCATCCCAACGGATGACATTTGGAGGCAGTTTGTTAAATCGACCTATTTTTGTTTAATGGCCTCGAGGATCTCCGCCTCGGAAATGGGGTGGAAGTACTTCCATTTCATCTTGTAATCAATTACTCCTTTAGCGACTTCATCACGTGTACAGTCCTCGCTGATGTGGTCTGGTATGTAGATGCGTAGTTTCAGGTCTTTACCTGATAGATCGCTTGGAGTCTGAGAGACAGGTATCATCTCCGGTGTGGGTACCTGTGCATCCACACCAGAGACCACTGTTGTCTCCCCTGTGAATGTTGGAGATTGGGGGACATGTATCATCTCCGGTGTGGGTACTTGAGCATCCACACCAGAGACCACTGTTGTCTCCTCTGTGCTAGTTGGAGTCTGAGAGACATGTATAATCTCCGGTGCAGGTACTTGTGCACCCACACCAAAGACTACTGTTGTCTCCTCCGAGGTTGAGGATGTTGCCCTGAACAGTGTTGGGATGGGCAGATTGTGGTGGCGTAAGCATTTTTCGAGTATTGTTTGAAAGCTGCCTGGGAGCAGAACATCCTCCTCATGGGCGTGTTTGACAATCATGTTTGCTAGTATGTCACGGTCATGGAGGTATCTGTCTCTGGCATTCAACATGACAGTAGTCTGTAGTGGCTGCAGGGACCATAGTGACTGCAGAAGTCAGGGTCCCTACCATCACTACATCTCTGTAATTCAGTGCAGTGACTGCAGGGGTCGGGGTCCCTATCGGCAGCACAGCCTTGTATGGCGATACTGATGTTTTTGTGGCTTTTTGTTGTGTTTCCTTGATTTTTTCCTTTCTTTTGGGACGGTGCGTGGACATAGTGCTGTGAGGCCCTTTGCAGTTAAGGCATTTTAGTGGTGCAATACATTGGGTTCAGGTATGTTGCACAGAGGTACATTTGGAACAGATTTTGTATTCCCTGGGTTTGGGGCAGTTCACACTATCATAATCCTCAATGGCATAGCACCTGAGGCAGGTACGTGTGTGGTGGTACTGTTCCTGTTGTATTTGGTTGTACGGTATGCTATAGGTGAATGCGAGGAGACCTGATTTGGTTGCTTTTTCAGCAACCTCGGTACTTTTGAACTGAATTTTGATTATGCATTTGCCTTTTTTACTGGTGAGTTTTTTGACATAGTCCACCTTGTTCTTCGCCCAAACGTTTTCTTTTTCAATCGCTGCTTTTATTTTTACTTCAGACTCTTCGTGCACGGATTCATCCGTTTGGAAGCAGAGAACAGTTCTTTTAGCCTTCAAGGCAGGAGGCAGGATTGGGTCATAGTGCTCTTCCCTTAGATTGTCTATACATCTCTGGGGCCAGAGGTTATCCAGGTCTTGGTCTTCAAGCATGAGCATGATGAAGCCATCTTTTGCTTCTATTACGTTCTGGTACCTGACATTGTGTTTGCGAACAATTTCTGTCAGCTTCCGCTTGGTAGACCTGTCTAGTGGCCTCTGGTCTGTAATTAGTATTTTCGCTTTGACAGTCATTATTGCTCCTTTGAGTGAAGCACGATAGATCGGCGCAAGTTATGTGCATAGCCTAGGACAGTGTATAGCACTGTCAGTCCTACGTTCTCTATGCCGGCAAGAAAGAGGGCCGGGATATCAGTTGCCCCACTGTCTTGGTTGAAGGCTTTAAAGGCCACAAGGGCAGTTCACTCCCAAGAACAGCAGTTTGGTAAGGCGAAAAGAAGAGGTTAAGATTCAGATTTGAAATGGTGTACAAGTGTGTGATTGTGGAATTGTCGCAGCGTTTGGCAGCATGGCACTGGCTTTGCGTGGTGGTGGCGCGGGACGGAGAATGTCCGCTTTTTTTTTTTTTTTTTTTTTTTTTTTTGAGAGAGAAAGGAGGGGTGAAAGAAAATTAGAGGTGGGGGAAGGAAGTTATAGTTCGGAAATTGAAGCAGTTCAGGAGGAGGTAAGAGAGGGCGGGCTGACCGCCTAGCTAAGCTAATAGTGTGTTAGGGTTGTGTCATGGATTAGTTATTGTCTGTCGGTACAGGCACTAGACATCCTACCCCATCCCATACATGGGTGTTTTAAGGGCCTTATTCTGGGGTGGGGTAGTCACTGACCATTAGGCCTGAGGCTGTTCCCCTCACACACACAGGACCAGGGTGCCCGGCCCTGATGCTTAGATCAGGGATTTTTAGTGCCTAATTCTTGAGCCCCGATTGATCCCCCGTAGGGAATGACAAGAATCAGGGCAGTAGGACCCGATGGTGGCCAGGGTCTAGGGGAGGTGGTGGTGGCCAGGGTCTAGGGGAGGTGATGGTGGCCAGGGTCTAGGGGAGGTGGTGGTGGTGGCCAGGGTCTAGGGGAGGTGGTGGTGGCCAGGTCTCAGGGGAGGTGGTGGCTGGGTCTAGGGGAGGTGGTGGGGCTGGCTAGGGAGGTGGTGGTGGCCAGGTCTAGGGGAGGAGGTGGTAGGGTCTGGGAGGTGGTGGTGGCCAGGTCTAGGGGAGGAGGTGGTGGTGGCCAGGGTCTAGGGGAGGTGGTGGTGGCCAGGGGTGGGAGGAGGTGGTGGTGGCCCAGGTCTAGGGGAGTGAGGTGGTGGCCAGGTCTAGGGAGGGGTGGTGGTGGCCAGGTGGGGGGAGGTGGTAGGATCTAGGGGGAGGAGGGGGGCCAGGGTCTAGGGGAGGTGGTGGTGGTGGCCAGGCTCCTAGGGGGAGGAGGTGGTGGTGGCCAGGGTGGGGGAGGTGGTGGTGGCTACAGGCTCCAGGGGAGGAGGTGATGGTGGGTCTAGGGGAGGAGGTGGCTGGGTCAGGGAGGTGGTAGTGGCCAGGGTCTAGGGGAGGAGGTGGCCAGGGTCTAGGGGAGGTGTGGTGGCCAGGGTCTAGGGGAGGAGGTGGTGGTGGCCAGGGTCTAGGGGAGGTGGTGGGGTGGCCAGGTCTAGGGAGGAGGTGGTGGTGGCTAGGGTCTAGGGGGAGTGGGCTCCAGGGAGGTGGTGGTGGCCAGGTCTAGGGGAGAGGTGGTGTGGCCAGGGTCTAGGGAGGTGGTGGTGGCTGGGAGGTGGTGGTGGTGGCCAGGGTCTAGGGGAGGTGGTGGTGGCCAGGGTCTAGGGGAGGAGGTGGTGGTGGCCAGCGTAATTTGATGCTTGTGTAGGTGTGTATGTCAGCTGTATATGTGAAGTGTGTGTGTTATGTATAGGGAAGATGTGAATGTAGGTGTGAGAGGTGTACAAGAAACGGCGGTACCTGAGCCATAATCAAAGCATACTTTTAAATCATTTTTTTACCCACGGAACGTTTTATAACAAAGTAGTAGGTTTATATTATGACTAACATAGGAACAGGAAATATTCCATAAGCAGCGTGTGTGTTATTCATTCACCAAGGGGCTGAAGGGTAATTCCTGAGCCTTACTTCCGCTCGTCTCTGCTTTCTTGGTTTATTCAGTGTTACGGTTAATTACCCAGTATACGTAACAGCTGAAGCAGGTACGTGTACAAATATGTCATATAATTCATTATTATCATAACATCTAAGAGTCTAATTAAAGACTGATCAAAAATTTATATGCCCCTCCTTTTCATCTCATATTGGTTAATGAGGGGCTCTCATTGGTCAAGATGCATGACGTAGCAGGTAGCTGATAGGCTGCTGGGCACGTGTTCCCTAAGCATCTCGCGAGATGTCGCTTCGTATTTTGATTTTTGATTCTTACCACTGAACTGTGCCTCGAAAGTGTGTGTACGATTAAAGAATTGCATTCAATTGCAAAAATTAAGTAATCGACTACAATTACAAGAGGGTTTCATTATAAATAAATGGTAGAGGATTATGCTTCCATCTGTGTTTTCGTGCGAAGTGGCAACTGCTGTCACCCGCGAGACATCTGAAAACAGCCAGTGAGTCTCCCCAAATTCAGTCATACTCTAGCATCGGTCGTGAGGATGATGCTCCATCCTGCTACGTCCGAGAAACGTCGTGGTAGACAAGAAGAGTAAAACTCTAAAATATTACAGAACCGCCAAGTTGTGTTTGGCAACAGACATTCAGTTGACTATTACGAGAGTGTTGATCAACATTCCACGATGGTTGTCTTAAAGAACGACTACTCCAACTGCCCATTGAAGAAGAGGCCGCTGTCTGTCTCCTATGATGATGCAACAGGTAAACCGGGATGGTGCTTTCTGTCTGTAAACAATATGTGCGTGTGTGCGCGTGTGTGTGTGTGTGTGTGTGTGTGTGTGTGTGAACTATGCTGTTGTCTTTATCATGTTGTTTCCATAGCATTTACTTAATTAACGTCATTGTGTTAGGGTGAAATATATATGACCTACAGGTGTGTGGTACGGAGGCTCCGTTAAGGGTGGTTGTTATCAGTGTATTAAGGAGTTGGCGGGTGTGACACGTCCGCGGTGGTTCACATGACAGTGATCGTGACAAAGGACATACCTGCCAGCGACCGTTCTTATTCCCGCATTAGTGTCATACATGTCCCTGACTCGCCATGGGTTATTCCACTTATACGACGTGATTTAGTGATCAAGCGTTCATAATCCAACACCGTATTGTTTTTTTTCCGTTTATTAAATCAGCCATCAAGTTCTTTCGCCTGCCATGGTAATTAACCCAGCGTTAGTATTACCCATGACTGCTACATCACTGTCATCTTTTTACTTTTGTATTATTTTTTTTTACGGGGATTAGTCCACCCAGGCACAGGTCACTGACCCACACCACGGCCTGGGGGGCGAAATAATAATAATAATAATAATAATAATAATAATAATAATAATAATAATAATAATAATAATAATAATAATAATAATAATAATTTAAATATAAAATAAAATAATAATAACCATAAAAAAGTATTAAAATAAATCAAGAGTGGGAAACGATATACAGTATGTATGTTGAGTTGTCAATAGTAAGAGAAACGATTGAGACCTTGCAATTGTGTGTAAATGAGGCAGAAAGTCATATCGGCAACCTGGGACACCGGTCACAATTACAACTCATCACAATGACAAACCATTCGCTTTTATCAGTGTTATCAGCCTCGACAGTGTTAAATCTTGTCCTTGATTATCAATGTTATTCTTGACCTTGATTATTAGTGTTATTCTTGTCCTTGATTATTAGTGTTATTCTTGTCCTTGATTATCAGTGTTATTCTTGTCCTTGATTATCAGTGTTATTCTTGTCCTTGATTATCAGTGTTATTCTTGTCCTTGATTATCAGTGTTATTCTTGTCCTTGATTATCGGTGTTATTCTTGTCCTTGATTATCGGTGTTATTCTTGTCCTTGATTATCAGTGTTATTCTTGTCCTTGATTATCAGTGTTATTCTTGTCCTTGATTATCGGTGTTATTCTTGACCTCGATTATTAGTGTTATTCTTGACCTCTATTATTAGTGTTATTCTTGTCCTTGATTATTAGTGTTATTCTTGTCCTTGATTATCAGTGTTATTCTTGTCCTTGATTATCAGTGTTATTCTTGTCCTTGATTATCAGTGTTATTCTTGACCTTGATTATTAGTGTTATTCTTGTCCTTGATTATCGGTGTTATTCTTGTCCTTGATTATCAGTGTTATTCTTGACCTTGATTATCAGTGTTATTCTTGTCCTTGATTATCAGTGTTATTCTTGACCTTGATTATCAGTGTTATTCTTGTCCTTGATTATCAGTGTTATTCTTGATCTTGATTATCAGTGTTATTCTTGACCTTGATTATTAGTGTTATTCTTGACCTTGATTATTAGTGTTATTCTTGTCCTTGATTATTAGTGTTATTCTTGTCCTTGATTGTGTGATTCCATGATTATCACACCGTTACCTTGACCATGATTATCACACCATTATACTTGACCATGATTATCAGTGTTATTCTTGACCTTGATTATCAGTGTTATTCTTGACCTTGATTATTCTTGTCCTTGATTATTAGTGTTATTCTTGTCCTTGATTATTAGTGCTATTCTTGACCTTGATTGTTAGTGTCCATGATTATCACACCGTTACACTTGACCATGATTATCACACCGTTACACTTGACCATGATTATCAGTATTACTTTTCCTTGATCCTTATTAATGACTAATTATAACTTCATAAAACTCTGTCACTATACTGTATTATTATTATTTTTATTATTTTATTGTTATTAATATTTTAAAACACAAAAAATTATTATTCTTTAATTTAAGGAAATATTATTCTGGATGTGTTAACGTACAGTCGAGTGCACAGATTTACACACAGACATAATAATACAATGATATATTTATTTAAGGATGATCTCACAGCTCCTTATCTTCACTACCATTTTCAAGGGGAAATTAAATAATGGAATCGGTAAAAACTAGAGAGAAAGGAACTAAATTTAGAAGATGTACAACAAAACCATTATCATATAGTGAACAAGACAGAAAACGGAAATCGTCAAAAAAGAAATTAAATACATTAATTCTGGAACTTAAATACATAGCAATATAATGACAAACTAACAATTGCCGGAAGATATATACGATACTTTGGTTTATACTGTAATTTTAGTCCTAAGATCTAAATATTTATAGATGTCTGGTTTACAGGGGATGAATAGTGTCGATTAATTCATCAATCTCATGTGAGCTAAAATCATAAGACTCCAAGTACCCATTCTAACTTAAAGATGAACTAAAGCTTTTCAAAAGGTAAATGAATACTGATGACATAATTATGGTAAATAGGCCCAAAAATTTGAAGCCTATAAAATTATGAAAATATCTCACAATGAAAACAGTAATTTATTTTGCTGTCAAGTGTGCATACAAACGAACAATGTACTGATCAAGTTAAGTTTATGGTTGACCTACAGTATAGTGAGTGTTTCTGGACCTAATTTAGTGTATTCTGTAATGTTTTTATGAACTGCTATTGTCAATAGAAGTAATTTATGTATTATATCTACATAAGTAATTGCTCTATGAATGTGTTATAGCAAACACCACGACTAATATTATTTTAATTTTATAACTTACACAATTGCTTGTGTCATTGTTCGGTTCTTTATAGCAACAGAAGTTCAGAGACGTTTGGGAAAAAAAAGATGTTTGTTGAAGCACTAGAACATAAGAACATAAAGAGTTTACAATAGGCCGGTTGGCCTGTGCATGGCAGCTCCTGTCGAGGGTAACTACCACTCTCTATCATCCATGAATCTATCTAGCCTCCTTTTAAAACTTTCCAGCGTCCCAGCACTTACTACAAAGTTGCTAAGCTTGTTCCACTCGCCTACCACCCTATTTGTGAACCAGTTTCTTCCTATCTCCCTCCTAAACCTAAACTTATCCAACTTAAATCCGTTGCTACGAGTCCTATCCTGCTCGGATATTATAAGAACTTTATCTATATCCCCTTTATTGATTCCTTTCACCCACTTAAATACTTCTATCATATCTCCCCGCACTCTTCGTCTTTCTAGGGAATGCAAGTTTAGTTTCTTTAATCTATCTTGATATGGAAGGTTTCTAAGTCCTGGAATCATTTTCGTCATCTTCGCTGCACCGAGTCCAGTGAATTGATATCCATTCTCTTTCACAAGTTGACTTCTCTTGGTTGATGCTGTTAAGGCTGTATACATTGACAGTATTTGTTCTTCCAATATTAAGTACGCTGTACTTGCTGGTCAACACCAGCAATTTCATTTGCCATTTTTCTGACCACCCCTGCAGTTTATATAAATCCTCCTGTAGTGCATTTGCATCCTGCCCTGAATTAATCTGCCGCCCTATTTTGGTGTCATCCGCAAACTTGCTTATGTCACTGCTGATCCCAGTATCTAGATCGTTTAGGTAGATTATGAACAAGAGTGGGCCCAGTACTGACCCCTGGGGAATCCCACTGGTTACACAGCCACACTCAGATTTAACACCACCTACGCTGACCCTCTGTGTTTTATCGGTGAGCCATGATTTTATCCAATTTAAAGCTTTCCCCTCTATACCATGAGCCTTAACTTTTCTCAGAAGCCTCTGATGCGGTACTCTGTCAAACGCTTTGCTAAAGTCTAAGTAAATAACAGCGTAATTTTCATTATCTACTACCTCGAAGACTTTTCTAAAAAACGTCAGCAAATTTATTATACAAGATTTTCCCCTTTGTAAACCCATGTTGAGAGTCGTAGATTAATTTGTTTTTCTCTAAATGCGATCGGATGCTATTTGCTATAATTGATGCAAGAAATTTCCCCACTACTGTATAATCTTATTCCTCCTTACAAGTATACAGTAATGTTACTATACTGACCTAACATTTTCAGACAACACGTGAGTTATATAATGCAGAGAACTACTAGGAGAGAACCACTAAAAGATTCAATCACTATCGTGATTATTCACATCCTCAGGGAGTACAATAGGAGAACTGTACTGTACTCAAGATAGGAATAATATAGATAATACTTCCATGTCCTTGTTTCAACAATTTAAAGGGTAATATTTCCTTTTCAGTAAGGATATGAAGTTTAAGTAAACTTAACCCAAACTTGGTGTTATATAATCAAGTGGGGAAAATATCGAGGTGAAAGAGAGAACTACTGTCCTGTAGACCTTGTTATTTATAGACACGACCCGTTAATACCTGTCAACGTTACTGATGGTCACTCGTATTATTTGTGTCACCAAGTATTTCATTTATTCATATTTACTTTGCCTACATGTAAACCCGATTTTGTAATGTGGTCACTTGTAGGGCTTTTGTTGACGTAACAAGCGGGAGTGACCCACGAACCTGAAGCTTTTTAATACCTGTAACAAGACGTACTGTTGTGATTTGTATATCATTATTATTATTATTATTGTTGTTGTTTCCGTGTGTGTGTGTGTGGTGTGTGTGTGTTTGTAGTTTATTAATATAACCATAATATATTCAGATTATTCATCCACGTTATATTATATTCCTATAGCATGTTTATGTTGCTGATTGCATAATCTTCCATTCAGTGTTATGATATTATTCACTAGTAATAAAAGTAAGCATTAATGAATAACATAGTTGTCCCTTCATAAAATTTACCAAAGTTGTTATTATTTCAGCAGGGAGTGAACAGACGGAACCTGAAGACCTCAGTCTCAAATGTGGGCGGGATGAACCATCCACACCCCACCCACACACACGCCCCCAGGAACAATGTGTCCACGACCCACACACACAGGAGCTGCAGTCACAAGGTATACGCCCAAGGGAATCACACGGTCAAACTTTGTGCACATATGGGTCAGACAGACTATGTCCACCAGAGTCATGTAAACAACCCATGCACACTGAAACAACACGGTCACCGTCTATACCTTCGCATGAGCCACACACTCCTCGGGTTTCAGACGCACACAGCCCATGTCCCAGACAACCACACAGAGTTGATACATCACCAGAATCAGAGACAGAGTCGACAACTCCGGCACGACCAATGTGTACTCAAACACCACTCATCCCGCACCATGACAAGCACTTACCTGTACCTGGCAACAGAACTGGTATCAACTCTCACAGCTCAATGAACTACATGAGTCCCAGCTCACCCTTAAGGGATATTACTTGGGCTGGACATCTTCCTTCCTCACCCGGAGTGGGTAGGTCTATGTCATTAGAAGTAGCTACACCCAAGATACACCCAGCTGACCTCAGACATTCTCCCCCTTTTAGTGAAGCCACTAGTTCAAACGTAAATGCAGAACAAGCATATACAAACACCAAAGAGTTGCCGTCAGCACCAACAAATGCAAGTCACTTTAGAAGCTCGGTAGAGACAGTGTTTGGGGTAACCCAGGACGCCCATCCCAACTCCGTCTCAGCAGTCCGTCCTCACCGACCCTGGCTGGCTGAAGACCCTCCACGGCAAACACACCGCCAGTTTGCAGATATCAATAGTCCCCTGCAACGCACACGACCAAACCCACTTTTAGCGAATCCTCCTAGTTTGTGGGCAGGTATGGTGCCACTCTCATGGCCAATACCACACCTGCTGGCCCCTCCCCACCCAGCCTCACCTGGCAGGCACCACCGAGAGTGTGGCTCACCTGGCTCGGAGTCCGGATCAAGTGACAGTAGTAGCGGGGCCGGACGAGGTGAAGCGCCTTACTCGTGTACGGGATGCAGTAAGTCGTACTCCACGTACTCTGGGCTGAGCAAGCACAAGCAGTTCCACTGTGAAGCTCTGGGCACCAAGTCGTTCGCGTGCAAACACTGCGACAAAGTGTACACAAGCCTGGGTGCCCTCAAGATGCACATCCGCACCCACACATTGCCCTGCAAGTGTCAGCTCTGTGGCAAGGCCTTCTCGCGGCCCTGGCTGCTGCAGGGGCACATCAGGACCCACACCGGCGAGAAGCCCTTCCAGTGTCCGCAGTGTGACCGCTGCTTCGCTGACCGCAGCAACCTGCGGGCACACCTCCAGACTCACGCTGATGTCAAGAAGTACGCGTGTGTCACCTGCCATAAGACCTTCTCCAGGATGTCCCTCCTCAACAAGCACACCGAGGCCGCCTGCCCCGCCTTGCACCGCCGCACACAATCGTGATGGTCTCGCCAACACTGGTCCCACACCTGCCATTCACACAAATGATGCCGGGATGTTGTCCAGTAATGTTGTGAATGTTTATATCACTTCCATGATTCAGAAACTGGAGTGATGATTTATATTAAATTTATATTAACTATTTTTTTAAGTAAAGAAGTATTTTTCATATAAATAGACTGAGGTCCCAGTATGTCTAGTCATGTAATATAAAACTTTTGTACGCTTTTGTAAATAAAATTATTTTTTATTAACCCAATTTGTATTGAGATTTTCCATCTGCCACTCAACTGTGTTGCATTCTGATATATACTGTATCATGGCATGGAATATGTGTGTTAAAAATACAGAAAGTCACCCATGTCCGCTTAGGATGCGTCCCTGGGGACACAACATAGCCAAAAGAAAGTTAATCGAACTTCACTTCAGTTATGAAAGTAACATTATTAGAAACCGACTATCTTGATAATGCCACAAAAATTACAGACACAAACAAATGTGTCTGAATAAAGTAAAATTGACCAAAAAGAAGACCACAGGAAAGCCATCCTTAAAATACGTAACAGTAGACGGGATCAACACACCTATGATGCATTGGTCCACCAGTCAGATCTCGGCGCCATACAGCAGCTTTTGGGAAACTTAATATAAACATTAAAAATCGTCCACTTCGACTTGTTTTTATAAGGTGATGGAGTCTAAAACCTATTAGAAATCATCATCACTAATAACCAATTCTTGTAAAAAATATTAATAAAATGTCTTCTGTCTTTGGTAACGGGACGGACTCCTTGGTAAGTAGACTTAACATCAACATTTGTATGATCTCTACCTACACATTGTTTAAATAAATTATGTAAAAAGAACATAAGGAGTCTGCAATAGGCCAGTTGGCCTGTGCATGGCAGCTCCTGTCGAGGGTAACTACCACTCTCTATCATCCATGAATCTATCTAGCCTCCTTTTAAAACTTTCCAGCGTTCCAGCACTTACTACAAAGTTGCTAAACTTGTTCCACTCGTCCACCACCCTATTTGTGAACCAGTTCCTTCCTATCTCCCTCCTAAACCTAAACTTATCCAACTTAACTCCGTTGCTACGAGTCCTATCCTGCTCGGATATTTTAAGAACTTTATCTATATCGCCTTTATTGATTCCTTTCACCCACTTAAATACTTCTATCATATCTCCCCACACTCTTCGTCTTTCTAGGGAATGCAAGTTTAGTTTCTTACACCTATCTTGATATGGAAGGTTTCTAAGTCCCAGAATCATTTTTGTCATTCTTCGCTGCACCGACTCCAGTGAATTGATATCCATTCTATAATAAGGGCACCAAGAAAACACTACACCCAATCAAGCCGACCAAGAAGAGAAAAACCATTGCCCAACCTAACACCCACCTGACGTCTGACCTGACTTATGGTCCCGCCCCCTCCCCGCCGCATCCTGGCTGGGTGCTGCTACTTCCTCAAACCTCAAACCTACAACCCCACACCACACAAGCTGTGTTAAGCCACGGCATCTGTCCTCTCCCACTAAAATTCCCTTCAATCCTCTCTTTAAACTTCCACTGAACCTCCTTCCCCCCTGTCACTAGCCTTTATTGATTGACTGACATGAGACTAAAACGACATAAATCTATGGTGAAGACCAACCAAGTTCACAGTGAAGGCTACTCTTCCCCGCAAAAAATCTGAACAGAGAATCTTACAATTTACGTACAAATATACAGACACATTAGTTTACAGTATCACAAGAGACAACCACTTGGTGTGTAACGGCAACTTTCAATTGGAAAATTTTATGTAATAATAATTTACATGTTAATTACTCACAGAGAGAGAATATTTCATGTCTATAAATTAATATTACACAAAGTTTTTCAATTGAAAGTTGCCATTACACACCAAGTGGTTGTCTCTTGTGATAATGTAAACTAGTTTGTTAATAATACAGATATACTTTATGTAACAGTATGTTAGAACAGCTGTGGTAGACCACAAAGGAACTTTGTTTAGTAATATTTATCTAAATTACTCACGAATCTGTTGAAACGGCAGGCAAACATTTACACCAAAACAGTGATAAAGATAATTATATTATTTTCATTTCTAAGTAATGAAATAACCACAAAATTAAAATGAGGAATATAATGAAATACAGAATTGCAAACAAAAATTAAATATAGACAGAAATAATAATTGTGAATCATTGTAATACTTTCTTAGAAGAGTCGATGAGGTAAGAGGTAGGCGATGAACACAAACAAGAAGGGAAAGTTTTTATGCGAATTCTTTTAAACGAGTGATCCGATGTTCATGGATGAAAACCATTCCACCATTAATCTTTGGTAAATGTCTGATTTAAAAAAAATCCTTGTGATTAAAAAAATGCTATAAATATCAGCACCGACATTGTTATGACATTGTATGATTGCCATTGTGGCAGTTGACTGCTAAAGACTCAGTCTTTGATAAGTTCATTACCGGTCCCTCCACCAAAGTCAGGTGTGTTGCTATGGGTGTAAGAGTTCCTTCAGTAACACCGAGCATTTGTAAAGTGATGTGCTGGTCTATAGGCGTTTTGAATCGCAACATAAAGAAGAGTTCATGGAGTGGATGAAGAAGTGTTCCTCCTGGTATAAACTAAGAGTCACTTCCCCATGCAAATCTAACATCTAATTGTAAACTGATTAAACATAGAATTCAATAAAAAAAAGCATATTATTGTTAATATTTTGTAAAAAACTGCAGAGGAAGAATTGCATTCCTTTACCCTTTCAATGCGCAATTAGAGTTGACAACTCATGTGTAACAAACAGCCCCAAAACAGTTTTAGCTTCACAAAAAAAAGATCCATCGGTGTTGAAATGAAGAGACATGAACTTTATTTTGTCTTAAATAAACTTCACGCGTGTGGTAAACAGAGACATACAAATAACTTCATCTGAACCTGAAAAATTGCATTTGTATTGTACTATAATATATTAACCTTACCTCCATCTGAAAAACAAATACTACAATACCTCCATAACCAACTTTTTAAATGTTAGTCATACATTTAATTAAACCTAGATATTGTAACCTAATCGAACATTATTACAAGCCTTGATTTACCTCAGCACCTGACGTTATCACCGCGAGGTCCCCAGTACTGAAGGGTCAACAGTGTTAGTAAGATTCATGCAACAACTAAACTACAAAATAATATGTTCCCAGATAAAGCAAGGCTCAGTATGCAAAGTCTTTCCCCACTTCATAAAATTATGAATAATACCGATACGTTTAATTCATTTGATTTATCTCATTTTCTATTTCAACTCCATAATTATAACTTTTAAGGTACATATTTCCAAACTGTCTAAAAATCACAGTGTGTACTTACCTCGAAGTGATGACTCAACCTATAAAAGACATAAACACGTTAAATATAAGAAATTGTCGAACCTGTTAAACAAACTCTCATGAAAATACATTTTTGAGACTGCCGCCATGATAAAAAGAAATTAATGACATTTATCTCATAAATTTTCAGATTTTTCATACATAATCACTGAGTTTTTAAAATAATTCCTAAATTCCAGTATAATGATTAATGACGGTAATATTTATGTCCATTATTTAGAAAAAAAATATAAAAAGTTGCTGAGATATCGTTGTTCTACTTGCTACTAGTAAACTGTCTCCAGGAGTAATCAGTATGAATATTTCAACTGAAAAAGGGGAGGAGAGGAGGACGGGAGTAGGAGAGAAGGAGAGGAGGAGGAGGGGATGAGGAAATTTCAAGTAAAAAAAAATCACACCAAGTACTTTACAGCTTAGTGTCAGACAGAGCTGAGGGTAGAATGGCTGTTGAGACAAAATTAGGAAACTACAATTTTAGTTACAATAACTGCACATGGCCATGCTCCCCAAAGCCGACTGTGGAGTAGCAAATGCGTAGGACCGTAGAGCTATCTGATCCATCAAATATTCCTTGGTAATGTATGCGAAAATATCTTGAACAAGGTCATAAGAGCACTGGGTTGTTTCCGTTTCAATTTAAGTGATTTTGTTTTCGTCTACCACTAGAAAACTCGATGTAACTCAGACACAAAACACCAAACCCACCAACTTAAGAAATGCCTCACCAAAAAGAAGCCAATTATGGTAGTAAACCGCCCGCTCTGGGAATACTGATTGACAATTTACATAACCCATAAGGCTCAAAATTGTCACGTATTTACCAAGATCATTAACTTCACCATCTGTAGTTTATAATACTTTTTTCAATGTACATTAAAGTACATTAACAAAAATTTTACCAAATAAACGAAAGAAATGTACAATATGTTCAATACATTTGGTCGCAATTAATATCTAATTTCCCAAAGAAAAATATAATCGGGACAATCCAGTTAACTATAAAAAGTCATAAATTAACAGATCCTTAAAGTCCATAAGTATTTAGGTCATGGGTCATATTATCATCCCTAAATTAAATAATTAAGGACCTGACCAATGATATAAAAGTCCGCAGTATTTACTTACATACTGTTAAGTCACGTTTCTTCTTGGGTCAATTAACCCTATTATCTTGTATAAGTTCATAATAGATTTTTATTCGCAAATTTTTTTTTTCAATTATCCAAAAATTTATTGTATTATTTCGCTGTATATACTATCCTTTGTTTTACATGAATTCCTAAACAACGTCAAGCTTATTATAGGTTTCTGTTGTAGGGAGACCTCTAACAGTTCCTCCGCTACAAGAGATAAAAATTTTCAAAACAAATTCTAATTCACGCTTAAGAGAGAATTTTACAATAACCTTTAGAACGCATGACTTTTTTTTCTTCTCAATATGGATATTTTTTTCTTGCTATAACTTAATGGAAACGAATTTATATAAACTTTATCTTTTTCATTTAAAACATCTGGATTAAATAAATTCAGGTTAAGTAAGCTTTTTTTATACATTTTGAATTGCTCTGTATATAGGAATGACAATATAAATGAAATAAATGTAAACTATAAATAAACATCAATATTAAACTAACCAAACCTAATCAATCTAACACTACCTTGCCTAATCTAATATCGATTAAGTTTGGTTATTTAAAAAATAATCTTATTTCCTTGGGTTTATAGCAACACAAGCCAAAAATTATATCTATGTTGTAAACCGTCCGTCGCGTCAAGATTAACTCGGCCGATTACCCGGACACCTCGTGATGTACTGTGCATCAAGATTCAATAGTGACCGGGAGTTC